AGCAGACTTAAAACAATGACAACAAAATCAAGGAATGTATTCACTTATTATGTCAAAAGGGTACATATTTATTATTTCATTCAAAGGCATAGTGTAAATAAAAGTGAACAATGTGAGACATGTTGAGCTGCACTACCTTTCATCTTGTCTTGGAAAAATTACTCTTTAATGTCTGTAGAAGCAATTCCAGACTCCTTTATGAAAGAAAGGAATATGTTAAATCATGGGAAATATTTCTGAGATGCAAAAATGGAAAGAAAAATCTGCAGGAGACAAGGTTTTCCTAGTTTGCTTTCAGAGGATGCATGAGCTTCTGTGACAGTAAAACTGTTCAACTGATCAAAAATAACTTGAGCAGATCTGTAGAACTAGCTCAAAAGAGTTCAAATGTCTATGATAATTAAAAAAATTAAAGATATTTAGGTAGAATGGAATAAAAAGATCTGGATCGATGCTAAAACAGAATCACCTTAAGAAAAACAATCAGTATTGTTTTAAAAACTCCTTGTTCCTGTTTTTGTTAAACACCATGCAAAATGTAAGCATGGTTCATCTTACAAGGAGTATGTTCGATGATTTGTAATTGCAGTTCACTGCTTGGACTGAAACATTCTGACACTGAATTGAAACTCTGAGAAATATCATTTTTAGAGACATACACATGGGGCATGTATTCACCCATAACATTATTCAAATTCATGTTATGGGCTACAACAGTCAAAATACAATTTTAGAAACTTAACTTCTTTGAGATTATTTGGGAAGACAAGGGATGCACTGTCAGAGAAATGAAACACTACCCCAAGAGCAGAGTATGGGAAATACTACTATTTTTCCCGTTGATTAAACAGAAAAAAAACACATAAATCTAACCCTGATCCCAATCACTGTTCCATTAAAAGCTTATAGTGATCATAAAATGTTCCTACAAAGTTTATAATTTTCATAAAAGCAGTTTATGAGTTGCAATTTATCCTACAGCTTGTTTTTTTATGAATCACAGAATTACAGAATTATAGAATGGCTTGGGTTGAAAGGGACCATAAAGACCATCTAGTTCCAACCCTCTGCTGTGGGCAGAGCTGCCAAGTAAAGGCATGTTTTGGAAAACTAGTAATACGTTATGTGCTACCCTCTAATCTTTTTATCTTTCCTCTCATGCACATGTTATAGTTTAACACAGACTCTTATCACAGAGTGTTTAGGCAGCAGTTCTAAGCAACTTCCGATGATTCTGAACGCTGAGAAACTTCTGTGCCTTGCAGATGGAAGTGCCTGCTAACCTCCCTGTGACTATACCAGATCAGCAGTGGAATTAAGAGATTTATTACATGGTGCTCAGATACATATTACGAACTGGATGACGTGTACTGCTGTTTTGGGAAAAGAACACAATCTGGTAGCTGCAAAAACTCTGCTTCCTGTCCATACAAAGCACATGTTTTTTTCAAGATGAACACATCCCCCAGAAACCTAAGTGGAAGACTCCAGGTGATAGATGGGGCTTCAGTTACAGTTTCTACTTATTTTTCACCACTACACCACTGCATCTTTCAAACAGTAACTGCATCCCTGCTAGAAGAAAGGAGTATCTGTTTTAACCACAGCATAAGGCTTTGTAAAAATCAATACAATCTGAGAACTAAGTTGTACTGGAACAACCATGTAAGAATTCATTAATCTTTTATATTCAAAACAATGTCGTCCAGTCATATATTAAAACAAAATCAATAGAAGCTATAAATTAAAAGCATTTGATGATCAAGTATTGCTTATTAAATTTGAAGATAAAAATACTATTCAGTTAAACAACAATTACACTTTACTTAGAAAATTTTTCTTAGGAAAAACTGCAAGAGTAATATTTTTATAACACGAGTTTAACTTCATTTTCCCAAGCATATCACTACATATAAAACTATATGCCTCCTCTTAATGAAGCTGACTGCTTTTGATTTTGTTTTCGTCAGGAATAAAATAGTACATTTCACTGACACAATATATGTTGCACTTCTGAGCTGTACTTTTGCTACAGCTGCTTTAAGCTCCAATTTGGCAAACTTGTGAGCCTAAATGAGTCTTGCAAAGACAATAAATAGGTTTACTACGCACTGAGAGTTAAAAGGACTACTCAGATACTATGTACTGAAATGCTTTGCTGAGGTTCAAAATAAGGTATATACAACTTTGCAGATGATGTTTACTATCTTATAGAATTTCTAAGAATTAACTTCTACTCTTGTATATAGCCTATTTTATTTAGTCACATTTCATGTATATAGAGTGTTGGATTACACTCTGGTCGTATCTAGAAGAAAAGCTTAAGACCTAAAGCTTGTTTCTCAAAGAAGAGATCAGAATTGTTTTCACAATTGTTTTCAGATTTTTTAAAGTGGAAATTTTCATCTGAATAGGAAAAAATATGATTCTGCATTTGGAAAATTCCAGTCAAATGAAATCCCACAAAAATCTTCCAATTCATCACAGTTTTTCCGAAGAAAGTAATTATTTCAAAAATAATTCACGAAGAATCTAATGATGTGAAGTATCTGTGTCCTACAACCAGATTAAATAACAAGAAGTGTTTCTATTACATTAAGCCAGTGTATTTTTGCAGGTATTTAGTCATGCTCCATTTTAACATAATTTCTAAGAAGCTGAAATTTGTTTGCACAAATGTTTATAAATATGGGTTTTGCCTCACACTGTAAATCTACCATGTAGAATATATGCCAGAGGCATTTGCTCATCTGTCCAATTCAGAGAACAAAAACATTTTGTTACTGTTTATTTGTATATTTCTAGCTTTTGATTTGTCTGTGTGGAAATAACAGTCTGTGCTGCTGTAACAGTGCAGCTGCCACACATACACCCTTACTGCTAACAGCAGTCTCTCATGGCATAACTAACACAAAAAGGTCACCAGTGTTTCTTTTAAGAGTTTTCATATAGAAAGTTACACTACTATAGCTATTACTGCACAAATAATTGTGGTACATTTTTTTGGATGTCAAAACACCTTGAAACAGTGAAAATGATAAAAATATAAATAATCACTGAATACTAGGTGCAGCTAATTCAACCGGCCACAATTAAGTAAAGTTTTAGCCATATATTACAAAGCTTTGGAGGAAAGTATTTTTAAAAATAATTGTGTAAAAATTTTACAGAGAATCGATAAATTAAAGAAGATCAAAATGTTTAGGAATATTAACTCATTCATTGTGAACTTTTGTCTGAGCTCTGAGAATTAGGTGGAAAACAGAGAATTAGGTGGAAAAATAACCAAAGCACTGATACAGGGTGCAGTAAAACAAAACAGTTAGAAGTAATTAAACACAAACCATTTAAATGAATATAAAAGCAAACAAGCTTTTATACAAACACAAATCTGCTGTGTCACCTGAAGTTGCAAGGATTCCAGAGGATGTGAATACATAACTTGTAGGATTCTGTCCAACTACTGATACTCATTTTCAGCTAATGCGTCTAATCAGTTTGGCCAATTCGTGGATATGGGCTGTCACCAAAATCTACAGTAGCGTTAAAAATGTAAAGGAAGATCTGTCTTTATGAGGTACTCCACTGGTTGCAATAGGAGTGATTATTAATGTACAGCCACAACAAGTCCATGGACATTACTACAGTGCATTCACATAAACCTCAAATGTCTCTCTACTAAACGTACATGCTTAAATCCATTCCATGAGGGGAATACAAGGCACTTTTCTTTCATCCCTACTTAAAATAAAAAGACACAGGTGAGCACCAATGTATTTTTTTCTCTTGCAATTGACTCTTTTATTAAAGTATTTTCCATGCAAATTTGAAGACGAGTTTCTCAGATGCATTTAATTAAGTCTTATGCAGCACAAAGCTCTTCCTTTCTGTTTCAGCATGGCCTTCCTCATCTCAGTCATGCTTTTTTTCTATTCTGCTATTATCTTCATGTTGAAAATTCCGTTTCGATTTTCCCATTCAATGCTATCCTTAACTAGTCTACTCATCTCACACTTTACTTTTGTCTTTGTTCTGAATCCTTTCATTTATTATTCTTCACCATATCCTAGTTACTTATATTGCTCCCAAGTCGTAGGTTAGTGTTGTAAACAGTTAGCATTCAATGCTTCTCTGCTATCTTCCTTTGTTCACTTTTCTTACCTTTTCGCCTTTGGCACTCTGGAGACCTTGACTTCTTTTAACAAGCCACTATAAAGTGACTCCCTGTTCATTTGATGTTTTAGCTCACTGAGTTTATACAACCCAGTGCCATTTCAAATATGTTAATCTGTTCAGCAGCATTCTTCTTTGGTATGTCTTCTTTTCTTTAAATACTCCCAAGCTAATGGATTGCCATTTAATTAGAAATAGTTAATCTTCGGAATAGCATAAGCACTATGTGTTTGCATCTCTTGGGGTTCTTCTAAACTAATTTTTATGACTGTGTTGTTATCCGTTTTCACTACTTGGCAGTCTGTCAATGGAAATAAAAGTTCACTGAGCTACATATCCAGGCCACAGTTTGCTGTATGTTTTTTTTTGAGCAGTATGCTTCTGCACCCTCTGCCCTTCCCTGCTTTCACTCCTTGCTCCCAAGCAGTGCTGTCAGTCATGAAGCTGACTGAGCTTTACCAGTACAAAGCCAAATTAAAAACTAACAAAAGCACCAATTTTTTGAACTTTTGATCACTTCTGACCTTGTCTGTTGTCGTAAGGTCCATGCACCAGCTCAGAATTACAACGGAAGGAACAAGTGACAGGGAAGATTTTGAACTACTACTGGAAAAAATGTTCACCAAATTTTATCTTCTTGTGACTCTGAATTGAGGAAAATATGGCCAAGAGGAAAGAGACACAAAAGAAAAGGAAACTAGTAAGGATATTAAGCACATGTTATTTATAACATAAGACTGGCTAATATATATATATATGTATGTTTTAAAATGCAGCTCTTAAGTAATGGTCACCTTGATGTAGGTGTAATAATAAAATATGCATACCTGCTGAAGTTGGTTCCTCTTCAGTGGAGGCTGTGCAAATGGGGAGAGTGGGGATGGGGCAGGGTTGGTGGAAGGAAAGGGAGGGAGAGAGAGAGAAAAAAAAAAAAAAAAAAAGAGATGAAGAAATCCAAATTGTGCTAATTGTTATATTATTTATCTTTTCTTAATATATCATCAATAAAACACTATGAAAAACTGTTCATGTAGTTTGATAACCTGAGTGTGGTTGATGTTAAAAATGGTGTAGTTTTAAAGGTGAAGACTTCTAAAACATGGCTGTGGGACCAGTGTTTTGGTTAGCTAACAAAGATGTCTTAGGATGACACAGAAATATCTTTTTTGCATCTCTCCATCAATTTAAGCTTATGTATCCAGTATTGGTCCATTGACCCTGGAATTACAGCTGAGAAATTTTTGAATTTTGTTTGTTTGTTTTCCCTTACAGAATGATGGATGGAGAGCCCATTCGATTCTCCAGTCCAGCTGTTTGCTGTCACAGACAAGCAATAACATGCATCTTGCGTCTTGCAGAACCTTTCCCTTTTTGTGACAGGTAACCATCAAATTGCCTTAAGCTACCACCAGAAAGAACCTGTGACTACTGACTATCTACTACACATACTCAAATAAAAGACATATTCACAGTAAAACTGTATTTTAGAAGTACACCAGTGACTTAATTCCTTCTCTTCTTGCAGTCAGTATGTTTTATATACACATGCATCATAAAAACGGTCTTCTCACAGTCTTGAGAAGTTTTCAATGACAGAGAAAGCAACAGTCAAACATTTCTCACCTCTAAAAGCACCATGAGGCCTGAGAGGATTCCCTATAAATGTGATATAGATACCTTCCTAAGGTACTAAACAAATCTATCCTATCATATTTTGTCTCTTTTAAACACTCTCTTCTATCATCAGTTTAAATGTAAGCTGCCTCTGTTTGATTTAGTGTAGAATCAGTTCCACACAAACATTCCAAAGAAGCCCTCTTTTCTGCCAGCTTACTCATTTCCTTGCAGATTGTGAAGACAATGTTCCTACAACTGTAGAAGCACTCTGGCACACTGATGGATGGCCTCAGAGCTTGCATATGGCACAGATGAAGATTTCAAACATTTTCTCAAAAATCAGTACCATTCTTTTTAAATAGACTTCTTTGCCTTCGCTATTACTCCGTGTGTCTTGTTAAGACAAAACATCTGTAGGGAAATTTCATCAGACATAAGAGACCCAGTGACGGTGAGTAGCTCATCACCAGACACCTACTGCATTTGACATCAATCAATCTTGGCTAATTTAGTAAAATGTTCTGTAAGCAATTGTATGTTGCATTGACACTGAATACAACAGTTTTTGCTAATTGCAAAATAGCGTGGTGTCCTAGGGGCTGTCAAATCCAATTGATAGAAAATAATGAATTACAGTCTGTTGCACCAGCCAACTATGCCTCAGATTAAAGTTTCCTGAGGTAAATAAATGGTTTTTATTTCTACAAGTCAGTGTTCAAATACATAAGCAGGCTACAACGCAATGCTCTGCAAAGCATGTAACTTGAGAAGGCCTAAACATGGTGCTTAACTGGTTAACCTTTCTCTTTTGTAACTCCTAATTTGGTGTTTAGATGTCTACTTAGAAGCTAGTCATCAACCATCAGGTGTGTATGGACAAATGATCACACTAAGCTTTTAAATTTTACGATGACGTGATTTTTATTATACACTTACTTAAGTAAAATGTGTTTGCAAGTGCAAAGATTTCACAGCAATAAAAGGAGGAAAAATACCAGTCTATTGTTTTTACACTAGTACAATACATCATTAATTAAATAACATGACAGCTAACCATGAAAAGAAATTGAGTTTTCAAATCTTGAGAGAGAAATCAGAAGTAAATGAATGAACTATAATCTAAATAAAGTATGCTAATACTTCCTAGGTTAACAATGGCAGAGAAGAAGACTAGATATGGTAAAAGCTCAGATATAAAATTCTGCAAATGACAAAAATCTACATGATCTGCAAGAGGAGTTAATGCTTGAGTAAAAAATAGTAAAAAACTTTAGTAATGCTCCATTAAAACTGGTTAAACAAAAGCATTCAATTATACAAAGAATATTTAGTCCAGTAACAACTGTTTTTCAGAATGCTATTTGAGCATTATTTGTAGAATTGATTACTGGGATGAACACTAATATTAGCAATTCAAAACTAGATTCTATTATGACCCTGATGGTTGTTTTGATGGAATCACTCTGCACTTAGGCACACATCTAAATAAAATAGGATAGCAGAATCTCAGCTGAAATAAATTATTCAGCCAAGAAAGTTAGACAATGTTACTTCTTTGCTTGTTTAATTATTTTTTTTACTATCTTACTGCTGGTTTAGGGTCTTTCAGGAGCAGATTAAGTTCATTTCTTTTCCCTAGGAACTGAATTCTCTTACAGATAACCATAACATGGCAGTTTCATTTTTTTTTTTCCCAGAAAAAAAGTGCAGGACAATGAAAGTCTTTACAATCTTAAGCCCAAATGAAGATCACATGCATTTTATGTATTTCACCTATTTAAGAAAGAATGTTGTAAACTTCAGTGAGACTAGAACTATTCAGTGTACACTGTCATTGACTAACATATTTAAATCCAAGACCCTTCCTGTCTGAATAAACAGGTGTCAGCAATGAAAATAAACAAATGTAGCCTAAATGGCATACTAAGTTACATGACAGCAGGAGTTCAGAATTGCTTTTAAAGTCAAAAGACCTACTTCTAGTTGATAGTAATGTATTTCTTGACCCTGGACAGGAAATAAAGATGTACAGTAAAGAAACAAATGTTAAAATACAGTTACAAATCTGTTTGTACTTCAGGCACACTTCCTTTTTAATCAAATTAGAAGTCCTGTATGTGGCAGGACTTCTTTCATGCCACACAGCTTGACAAACTATATTAAAAGGCAAAAAACAAAGAACAAAACAAAACAAAAAAACCTTTCAATGATCTACTGAGTACTCAAATAATAAACTATTTTTGCATTATCATACCATGTCAGATGCAATGTCAGCACTCTACTTTCTGATAGTTAAGTAAATGCACTAAATTACCAAGCCAAACATTTCCTACACAATGCCTCTTTTCATCCATCATCGGTGATTTAAAACTTGAAGTTATTTTGAACTCACTGTTTATGCAGTGAGTCAGCTCCACAGTAATTATTCATAATTTACTTTACTTATTTCAGAGGTGTGGCTTATAAAGTCAGCTGGAATCACTTTGTCAGCCAGCTGGTGACTCACTGTGCTGGGCAAAGAATCACAGTCAGAAAAGTTTAGTCCCCTTTAGCACAGAGAAGCTGAGTACTTGATAAAGACTTTCCCAAACAGCTGCCATAGTGATGACAACAGTAGTACGTGATCCTATGATAAAGCACCCTGCAGCTTTAAAGTGTTTTTAAGAATGTTTTTCTTCTCCTTGTAATGCATTGGAGATAAAATTAACATAAAGCAGCACTAATATTAGCTTTTAACTTGGAGAAAATCCCATGCACATTTGGGAAACAATATTACTGCATGGTATTAGTGGGGAAAATGTCTCTTGAACACTGACAGGCATGGGGTATCCACCACATCTCTAAGTCTATTCCCTGGTCTGACCACTTTCATGGAACAGAAATGTTCCCCAGTTCCCAGTTTGACTGCTCCCTGGCAACTCTGTCTTATTCCCAGCCTGTCATCAGTTCCCTGGAGCAAAGCTCAGCACCTCCCTCTGCTTCCTCTCCACAGGGAGCTACAAAGATCACAAAGATCAATGATACTGCCACTGTACAACTATCCAGAAGATACTGCCTACAACTCCATATAATATCTACAAGATAACTGTCATCCCAAGTTATTAAAGTGGAGGAGAAAACCCTAAGGACAACAGAATTCTTCCAAAATGTATTTGTCTGTCTGCATTTACATCCATTCATGGCACTGCTTGAAATAAAAATCAGTGAGCCTCCTACAACTGAGAGCAATGTATATAGCAGTGACAACAAACACACAGACCTTGTGATGATGCTGTACTGAAGCTGGATCAGGTAACTGGTAAGACCAATTTTCAAGTTTTCCTGGTTCTATCTGAAGAGGGGCTTATAGGAAAGCTAGGGACGGACTTTTTATAAGGGCATGCAGCAATAGCACAAGGGAAAATGGCTTTAAACTGGAAGAGGCTGGATATAGACTCGATATTAAGACGAAATTCCTCACTGTGAGGGTGGAGAGAGACTGGAACAGGTTACCCAGCAAAGCTGCGGATCCCACATCCCTGGAGGTGTTCAAGACCAGGCTGGATGGAGCTGTGAGCAACCTGGTCTAGAGCGAGGTGTCCCTGCCTATGGCAGGGGGGTTGGAAACAGATTATCTCAAATGCTCCTTCCACCCAAACCATTCTATGATTCTATATTCTCTACCTGCTCTTGCTCCTCTTTCTTTCATATGCCATTCAGAATGTGAACTGATGATGTGGTAATTGGGGCTGTCATTGCTATGTTACACTCAGCAGTACTGAGCATTATCAATGAAATGTGCAGCATTCATTATCATACCAATATCAGACTGCTTTGAGAGGATGCTCTTTTAGTTTAAAAGTAGGACACCTTTCTTCTTCTCTGCTAAATATGAGACTGCAGTTATATATTCTAGTTTAAAATACGATTGGCAGTAAATCTGGAAAACATGCCATTTATGACAGTCAAAGATACGTCTGTTAGTGTGAGTAAGAGGTTTCATGTCACAGTTTTACAGGAAGGTTGGGTTTGCTCTTTCACTGTATGTTCTTTTTCTGTCTAGTAAATGTAGTATTGGAATGACTGTACATCCTTTGGCAATCACGGGCCCTCGGGAATGGCAGTGCCTCCCTCTGCATTCAGTTGGCTAAGGTGTGTTTGCAGCTGGTCTAAAAGAAAATAACATCAAGAAGGAAGACATCAGGAAACTCACTAGTGCATGAAAGTGATCATCCACTACAAACTGACTAAACTGTGACTG